TCAAGGTAGCAGCTTCGGTCGGGTTTCCACAATGTGTCCTACTGACCAACTCCATCGTTTCTTTCTGATTTCTTCCCCCCAATGGGGGGAAGAAATACATACTGCTGAATGAATATAACCCCATTTAGAACCCTTTATTCACAATAATCACTCTTTTATTATCTCAACATCAGTTAGCTATGTTTAAATAACTCGAATTTTCAACTGTCTAATAAAGATTTAAAATATTTACCTAAAACAAAAATAAGTTCCAACCAATTCAAATTTTAAAAAGTTCACATAAATAAGTTTAATTTTTAATTAGAAATAAAACTTGAACACTTTTGATATATTAATTCAAATCATACTCATCTATCTCATGATCATTAATGCGTTCACTTTTTTTTAAAAAAAAATCAATAAATATTATGCGTCATACCACAAACAAGCCAGTCATATATTTAATGACGTCATCATTTAGAAGAAATGTGTTTTATTATTTTTTTTCAAATATCCACAGGTGATGAATGATCAATATAGAACATATATATATTGTACATTGTTGAATCAATCAATCAATCAATAAATTGGTATGGAATTTTTCCCGCGTTTTTTTTTAAAAATGATCATAATTAAATTGATTTGATGCAGTGAAAGGATATTGTATAGTGGAATCATTATTGTGTGAAATGTTTACAGTGAAATGATTCTTTAAATTCTTCATAGTGTTATAATGATGATTATTATTGTTATATGAATAGATAGTAGGCATATTGGTAATTGAATCAGAATATCGAGAATGTTCTATTGAATTATTATTGTCATTTCTGTGGTCAAATAATCGATTTGGATGTGATATAGGTAATGTTTCATTGAATTTATAAGTATTATAAGTATTTGTAGAATAATAATTGTTCGGTATTTTTCTATTAGTATTGGTAAAAAATGTTGTTTGATTGAAAGACTGTACATTATTATTGTTATTTTGAATTAAAGGTTCAATGTGTTCAGTTCCAGTTAAATTCATTGACGATGTTTGAATTGGAATAGTAGTTTCTGGAGGACTATGAAAGCTAAAGTTTTGATTTTATTTTTTAAAAGAAAAAAAGACAATGAACATTTACTTTGATAAATTAAAAAAAGAAAAAACTTTATTGATTTTCTAATAATCAATGTTTCAATATCTGATTGTTTTATATTGAAATCACGACTGAATCATTGTTAGATCACCATTAGAAACCTGGAAGCACTGGATGGCCATTTCGTCCTAGCATGGGACTCATCAACAGTGCGCATCCATGACTCCAAAGCGAAGCGTTACGCCCGAAAGTAAACACGTCAACTTGATATACTTGAAATATTACGAGTTTACCTAGTCGGAAAACGAGAGCGAGGATTGAGGATCCGGCGACACGACATGCTACTCAAATCCGATTATCCCAACCCGCATATTTAGTGAAAATATGAAGACTTGAATGTGAAGTAGAACCTATATTCTACAAGCATACAGAAATCACGAGGTCCGAATCCAGAAGAGAGTCAGGATCCCGGACAAGGGATCCGGGAGCGAGTCCTGGTCCTGGTTGTGGTCATAAAAGCGTATTTATAAATTTTGGTCGAACAGGAAACAGGATCAAAGTCTGTGACATTGACAGTTAAGATGACCAATAGGAAACAACATTTGGAGTGACATTAATATCTAGGACGACCATAAAATTGAGCAGTAGGAATTAACCAATAGGAAGTGACCAATAATTCTCTTATGATATTGGATGAATACCCTAACACAAAGGCAGGACCTTCGACCTGGCACGCGAATGGTTATTCATCAGACCATGGGGCCGATATCAAACAGTGGTAGTGTCTAACTCTAATCGATCTAGGGATTTTACGAAATCTCACCCATTTATCTTCAATAGTTACTGCTTACACCGTACTCCACTGGTCACGTCTTCTCACTAGAACTCTGAGAATTTCCTCATGAAGCTAGTCACTAGTGACCCCACATTGTACGATATTTTAAGCTAGAGTTACGGTGATCAATGCTTTTACACGGATGATTTCCATAGCACGACGAAATGGCTGTTCAGTGCTTCCAGGTTCCTAACGGTGGTCTTACAATGATTGACTTATGATAATGTCAATCTGTAATACACTTGTCTGTGTACGCTATTCTACTAAGATATAAAAAAAAGTTATGAGACGTCTGAGAGGCCTAGCTGTTAGTGACTTTCAGAAGTAACTTAAACCAACAACTAAAGAGTTATAAATAGTGAAACACTACTTGCTTACAGCTACATTTCATGTATTTATTAGACAGAGTAATTTTGAAACTATACAAACAGTGTTATTTCAAATTTGTTTTATTACTTTAATAAAAATGGCGTCAAATTTGAAATTGGAGACATTCGAAGAAAAATTCCTTCTTTTGTTTTAATTATTATTATAAAAAGATACTTCATTGATACTATTGTGTTTGGGTCTGCTTTGAAAGTTCATAATTCACACAATTTATTAAGTTACATTTTTAAACAAGAAGTTTAGTGTTCTAATAGAAATTTGTTTATATTGAGCAATAAAAATATTTTCTTAAAAATCATTTATGCTTATGAATACAATCAAACACTCAGTCAGTCAGTCAGTTACAAAGTAGAACTTCCTACGTGCGTACGTCAGTTCAAGTTGCCATACCACATTACCACACATAGAGATGCGATTGTCAGTTGAAATACCATAGTAGGAGAGGTAAATAGAAGTATTAGCAGTAATCAAAAATATTAATGATCGAATATATCATTCAAGATGTATACCACAGAGGAATCAGTTTGAAAAAACGGTTATGAGGAATTTAGAAGATTAAGGTTTGAGAAAACACAAAGAGTGGATGCACCTGAGCCATTGCAAACAGTTTTCATCCAGTGGTAGAAATGTGGTGTGAGCTACTTATAAGTAGTGTATGACGTGAGTGTCAACGTAGTGTCTGACAGCAGAAGATGAGGAAAGATCAAGAAAGGAAGAGTTAGAACACAATGGAATTTGTACGAAACGCATGAATAGTGAGTGACAATGGATCGATGTTTTGCAACAGGAACAGTCCAGTTCGATATGATGAACTGATATTTTGCAAATGAACAATTTACGATTTGGTTTTGCGATTTTACTGAGTAACTCTGTAATTTTTGTTAAATACAATTCGGTTGTCCCACCTGTGTTCTCGTTCACTACAGAAATAGTAGAAGTATTAGCGGTTATGGAGAAGATTAGAGTTCGAAGAAATTATTCAAGAAGTAGAATCTAGTGAAATAAATCTAAAAATAAGATAAAGGTGATGAGGAATTTAGAAGATTAGAATTCCATAGAACATAAGCAGTTAAATGCACCTGCGTCATTGCAAACGATTTTGAGCCATGTCGTCCAAAATCTCTAACCATTGATTAATATCATCTCACCGACTCTAACCAGGTAGTCTACATTTAACAACATGACTCAGTTCGTGGTGGTGTTTTGTTCTCTGAGCTGGTTGTTTTGGTTGTGGAGATTTCATTGTTCTTCCTCTGAACAACATCATCAGCACAAACTTCAGATAGAAGAAGTGAAGCATTCGAATTTCTCCACGTTTGACCTGTAGCTTGTTCTGCTAACCTCGATCTTGATTGGTTGCTGTTGTCTTTTGACCTGTCGTTGTTTGCAACTTTGTTTTGATTGCACTCCCCTTTCGATCTGTTTCTTGATCCTATGATTTTTCTGATTGGTTGATAGATTGAGTCAATGTCAATGTGTTTGTTGATTGCTGATTGGCCTGACTTGATAGATATGTGCCATGTTTGGGTTTCTTCCAACCTACATCGAACACTAAATTACTCATATCTTTCCATGTACTTTAAGTCAACTTAAACACTTGTTGGGTGGTCATCGACTATATCCATTGAACATTCTTAAATATAAACAAAAAGGTGAATGAATCTTCAATGATTTTTGAAATCAGTCAGTAATAATTATCATTCACTCAAAACTGGTTCCTGAATTTCTAAAGAGAGAGCTTGACTAGTAGAATGAACTCATTTTAAAGATACGATATTATCAAGCTCATTAAATGCTTCAACCATTAAGAGTTCACATTGTAGTCGTCGGTAAACGAGAGCGAAGACAAATGATCTAGTAACACGATAGGTTACTCTTATCCCAGCGTCTCAAAGCCCCTACTAAATAGAGGAAGAAGTCTTGAAAAGACGTAGAAAGTGTATTATTCTACAAGCACCCAGAAAATATGAGGTCCACAAGCACACAAATCGAGTTTATTTATACAATGATGGAAACGTCCTTGGGAGAACCACAAAAATAGCGTACTAAAATAATCCAAGGATTTTTCCGAGTGGGAAATGTAAGCTGGAGATCAACTAAGCGATTTAAGCGCGAAAACATGAAAAATTCAAAATTAGGATATTTTCCAATTGAGTACTGGGGATCCAACTTGCCCAACAGATATATACCGTAGTTACTTACGTATATTTGAATTTGTTTACACGAAGCTAGTCACTAGTGAGCACAGGTAATTTGTATTACAGGGTTGTGAAGATTGCTAAGTTATACATTTTTGACACCATGAATTTGATCATTGTTAGACCAACATTAGAAACCTGTAAGCACTGGACGGCTGTTTCATCCTGGTACGGGACTTCTCATCAGTGCGCATCCACGACTCCTGCACCCAGCAGGTTCCGAACCCAGGACATTCGTTATTGTAGGCGAATGCCTAACCATCGGACCACTGAGCCGGTATCTAACGGTGTTAATGTCTAACTTGATCAAATTCACGGAGTTGCGCAACCTCATACACAGTCTTCGGTAGACACTGCCTACACCCGAACAGGTTGAACTTCACTGGTCACGTTTGCCCATTAGAACTCGGAGAAGATTCCTCATGAAGTTAGTCACTAGTGAGCACAGGTAATTTGCATTACGGGGTTGTGCAGATTACTAAGTTATACATATTTGACACCATGAATCGATTAATGTTAGAACACCATACCAAGACGAAACGGCCGTCCAGTGCTTCCAGGTTTCTAATGGTGTGAGTCTAACTAACATTGATCGATTCATGGTTTCAAAAAAATGTGTAACTTAACAACAATCTTCACAACCCCGTAATATTAATCTAATTGTTTTTTTCTAAAGTTCATAAACAGATAAAGTTTAAAGTCAAGTTGTCCATGTTCTTCTGACTGCAACTTTCACATAGATTCTGTTGTGCTCACCAGTATCGCGTTTCCAATTATAGCAGTACCTTTTGTAGGAAAAATGAAATCCTACATCGGCAATTAACTGAAGTTTAAAATATAACCCAGTACATAAATATACATATTTAGAAAACGGAATACTTTCAAGTAAATCCTAGTTTCAACCTGCGTTTTCATTATTCATAACAATTTCAAATCTAAGCGTTTATAAAAACAAATATATCTATCACACTTACCCATTGAACAATTCATCATTCTCCGTCACAAATCGATCATAAAATCTTGTATCCATATCATGAAATGTATATGATGGCATTGTTATTGATGTGATTGGTTGTTCATAAAATAATGGCAAGTGATTAGTAGTATTATCAGTAGTATCATTCTGTTCAAATAAATTTATATCTCTGCAATCAAATGGATAATTGATTGATTTACACAGAATTGATCCACCAGAAGTTTGTAAATCATGTGAAGATTTTTCTAGCAAACTTGAATGATAACCATTTTTTATATGATCATTGTATGTAGTAGTAGTAGTAATATAAGTAGTAGTATTAGTAGTAGTAGGTGTGTTGGTGGTGGTTGACAATGGTTTTGTTATTGTAGTGGATTTTTTATTGAAAATATTACAATTACTACTACTAGTACTACTACTACCATGACGTGATATCACAAATATCACAGAAATAAGTACTGTACATATAATAAAAGTAATCAATATTATACAAATAATAATAAATTTATTAGCATCCATATTGAAATGACTCAATAATGATGATGTGGAAGAAACATTCTGACTATATTGATTGTATACATTAAAACGAAAAACATTTGTTGGTTTATCCGAAATTTTTATTATGATAGTGGTTGTTGTAGTTTTAGGCATTAAACCCATATCTGTTGCTGAAATTATAAGTGGAATAGTTCCCTAGAGAAAGAAAATAAAATTAATATCATTAGTTACGCAATACATTTAAATCCTAAACGTATCAATCAGTCAGTCAGTCAGTCAGTGTTACAACGTAGGAGGACGTCGTACATACACACACATACATCAGTTCAAGTTGTCGAACCATATTAGTACACAGAGTGTTATAATTCTCTTTTTATATTACAACAACCCAGCGATTGCCTGATGCTTAGTAGTATTCTCAGTTATGGCTGTGAAACATGGCCAGTGAGAGTAGAAGATATTCGTTGGCTATTGGTTTTCGATCATAGGTGTCTTAGAAGCATTGCTCGTATATTGTGGGACACCTGAGTGAGCAACGCTGTTATTAGGAGACGCGTGCTAGATAAGAATGGCAGATCAATAGATGAAGTGCTGAAACTTCATCAGTTCAGGTGGTTGGGACATGTGCTGCTGCGTATGACTAACCATCGACTTCCTCGAAGAGCTTTGTTTTGTAGTGTAGGAATAGGTTGGAAGAAAGTTAGGGGCGGCCAAATCAAAACATGGCAGAAATCCATGACGTCATTGACGAGTGGACTTAGCCATGTCGGTAATTGTCGAATACCTGGTTGGGGTCCACGAGATGATAATAATCGATGGTTAGAGACCTTGAATGACATGGCTCAAAATCGTTCGCAATGGCGCTGGTGCATTTATTCTTTGTGTTTTCTCAAATCCTAACCTTCTGGGTTCTTCAACACCTCTAGTTTTGACTTTCTAAACTTTTCTCACTGAATCATATTTCTTGAATATTTTCTAATCCTAACCTCTCCGATTACTTCTAATACCTTTACTACCTCTTCTCTTATTGGATTTGAATTGATAATTATATCTCTGTGCTGATGTGGTATGGCAACATGAGCTGATGTACTTACGTACGAAGTTCTACGTTGCATCTGACTGACTGACTGAGTAGTATTCTCGGACAATAATTCACTCAAGACTTTCCCCTCACAAATCAGAACACGGTTGAACAGGAATTAGAGATTATATTCCAATAACAAGATTAGATGGAAATAAGAAGTTCAAAATGTTAGCATATTTGTAGTTTTCTTACATGAGAAGATTCTAGAATGTTCCTCCAGTGTCGACTAGCTCTGATTGGACAAGAAAGAGCCAATCAGCATGCGACAGTGCAATAGTGTATCCAAAAAGCTTCAATCTAATCCATGTCCCGTTAACACAGAGGATTAGCGGTAATGGAGAAGATTAGGGTTCGAAGATATTATTTGAGATGTAAACTCCAAAGGACTTGAGATAACACAAAGAGTGGATGCATCTGTGACATTGCAAACGGTTTTGAACCATATCATTCAAAGGTCTCTAACTATCCATCATCTCTCGGACCCCAACCGTGTAGTTGACACTTATCAACATTCTAAATGTGTCATTCTATACAGTAGATCTTTGATAATAATATTCTAAATGTAACCTTACTAACTCTGAGAATAATGTATAAATGTTTCTGGACGACAACATTAAGGCACATTGATAATGTTACGAAAGCTTTATGATGAAACAAAACAGTTTTCTAGATTGCAGTATACTAGCACATTGAAAAATTTTCTTCTAGTTAGTCCATAGTATCTATTGTTCTCAAAGTCTTAGGGTTGACTTATGAAATCGTTTATCAATTTTGATAGAGGTAAGAAGTTTGTCTACCGATCAACAGATGAATATGATGCGTAACAGTTTATTTTGTTTGACTTTATGGCTATGAGTTATGACCTTCAAAAGATATTTAAAGCTTAAATGTGGTGGTGTTTGGTTCTCTGAGCTGGTTGTTTTGGTTGTGGAGCTTTCATTGTTCTTCTGAACAACATCATCAGCATAAACTTCAGATAGCAGAAGTGAAGCATTCGAATTTCTGCACGTTTGACCTGTAGCTTGATTGATTGCTGTTGACCTTAAACCTGTCGTTGTTTGCACCTTTGTTTTGATCGAGGTTAGCAGAAAAAGCTACAGGTCAAACGTGGAGAAATTCGAATGTTTCACTTCTGCTATCTGAAGTTTGTGCTGAGGATGTTGTTCAGAAGAACAATGAAAGCTTCACAACCAAAACAACCAGCTCAGAGAACAAAACACCACCACAATCATCCATCTGAGCTACAAATTTTCTCCACCATCTCAAAGCTTAAGTGTATGTTGGCACTATTGAATACAAGATACTCTGTTGGTTGTTGACAAATCGGTTAATGAAATAGTAATCTTCAATGACTAAGATGGTTTGAATATATCTAACCATCAACTACCATGATTTGTAATCCTGTGTGGAGCAAAAGTAAGTTGAAAGAAAGCCAACGGTGGGTAAACTAAGACATGATACAAGTTCATGGAGTTACCGACTATTGCTTTAAGCTCCTCTATATTGTCAAATACATTGCACCGAGTTGAAGTTTGAACAATAATGGTAATCAGTGTTTGAGACATTGTATGACATGGTTTTGAATTGATCGTCATGATACCGATGTATTCATTATTTGCCTTTCTTAGAAACCTTCACTTTTTTTACAGTGAAAACTTGGAGAATCATGTGAACTGTCATCTAGAAGATACAAGTGTTTATTAACAGTTATCTACACAAAATACTGAGGATCCATTGGTTAGACACTATCAGTAACAATCTACTGTGGAAGAGAACAAACCAAATTCCAGCTCTGGAAGAAATCGGGAAGAAGCACTGGAAGTGGATAGGACATTGTTGTAACGCTGCTACGTAAAACTCTTCAGTCTTAACGGCGTCCAATTCAAATATCACAATACGACCCAAAAGGCTTTTTCCAAATCTCCTAGAAATCAGAACGTAACACCGTGGAAGGAAGTTGTTTATTGGGTCGAATACAGAAGAAGAAGTAGGCAGGGGAAACGGAATTATTAAGTCTCTCAGATTGTGCGTGTTTATACACTAAGGTCGAATAAGAAAGAGCATCAACGTCTGTGAGATTGACAGTTTAGGCCGACCAATAGAAAAGAACATTTGAATGACATTGACAGTCCAGATGACCAATAAAAAGCAACATTGAAGTATTTGACCTTGACGGTTAGAACGATTATAATTTCGGCCAATAGGATTGTACTTCTAAAAATAGTATTCTTAGGATATTTGGTGAATATCCTAACAGACATACATTGTGGAAAGCATCCAGCTGTGTCACAAGACAAGTTCTTATTTGGAACCCTTAAGGTCAAATGGAAAAATGGAAGGCCATGGAACACAGAAATGAGAAGAATGAACAAAAATTGGAAAGAACTGTAGAGAGAGGCTCAGGATAGATTAGGTTGTAGAATACTTGTCGACGGCCTATGCTCCATTAGAAGTAACAGGGGCAAATGTGTGTAAGTAATTCAACTGGGAAAACATTGAATAACTTCCATTTTTCTCGTAAACTAATTTTCTTTTTTTAAAATAACAAAACAAGCTTTACCTGGAGGTTTTGGTAGAAAGTATGACTATAATTCAAACCATTAATCTTTAGGAGTTAATTGATTACTCTAGTAAAAGTTACCAGTGATTGAATTAGGATATATTTGTAAAACATCTAGTACAAGTTTCTAGAGATTCCTAAGGATATCTTTACAACCAGAGTAAAATCTAGACCGAAAACTTCCATGTCATTCACATCCAACAACTTAAATTATTGTACAACAGGTCAAATCACGTTAAACTTTCACTTCACTAGAATATGACTAATAAAAGTCAATCGACATTTGTCTCAATTAACTTACAGATTCTACCATAGATAAGTTTCGACAGTAGCCTGTCTGACATGAACACAGGAGAACGCCGGCAATATTCTTAGGAAAAGCATCAGTTTTCTCGGAAATACAAATATACCTTGATGATAAATAATACTGCCAAATATCTTACTCCATTTAGTAAAATAGTTTTGAACTTTGAACTAATCAGAGTATTTATTTCTACTGGGTTTTTTTAAATTTTATCGATGCTTAGGACTGTAATCGATCGGTCTCTTCTGTATATGTGTATTATGTGTGGTTTCCCTCAGTATTGTCTTTAGGTTACAAACATTACTGTCAGAGGTGGATCGTGGCTAGCAGTGGAATTCAAGACACAAAATTTCATTCTATCTATGACTAGTCAGCCGGGTTCGAGTCTCAGGGTGAACATCAATTCTAAGATGCAAATATATTCAGCTAACAAGTTACCAACAGGACGAAATGAGCGTCCTGAATTCCACCGCTAACCACTGTCCACATCTGCTTATTTGTAGACAAATAGGTGAGGTCGCACAAAATCCTTAGATAAATCAGAGTTAGACATTAACACCGTTAGGTGCCGGCTCAGTGGTCCGATGGTTAGGCGTTCGCACAGAACAGTGAAGGCCCCAAGTTCGAATCCTGCGAGGTGCAGGAGTCGTGGATGCGCACTGCTGATGAGTCTCATACCAGGACGAAACGGTTGTCCAGTGCTTCCAGGTTTCTAACAATGATTGGTTGATGATTTCAAATGTGTAAAAACACAAACCTCCAAAACTCTGCCCCAAAATTTGTTGAGTATTGTTTTAGTTCCGTAAATTTTTGTATTCATTTTTGATTATGTCTCGTTGTAGACATGCTCATCTGAGCTTTTATAACTAGAAATATTTTCCACATGATTGTATATAGATGCCCGTACAAAGTGTTAATAAATTAGTAGTCAAGAAAAGGCACTGAAAGTAGAATGTAGCAGTAACTACACTGGAATTTCACATTTCCTTTAGCAAGATTTAGGATGAAGAACAAGTATTAATGGACTGGAAAGAAAGAAACCTTATCGAGATATCAAAGAAAGGTGATCTCAGCAAGTGTAAGAACTATAGAGGCATCACTCTACTCTTAATAACAAAGAAACTCTTCAACAGAGTGTTGTTAAAACGAAAGAAAGGTTCAGTTGACAGCCAACTTCGAGAGCAGCACACCGGATTCCTCAAAGGGTCGGTCGTGTACCGACTGACTGCAACATTACGTTTGACTGTGGAACAATCAGTTGACAGGAATTCACCATTCTATACTAACTTCATCGACATCATTCGACAATATCCAAAGGATGACAATATGGAGTTTTCTTCAACAAATTTGGAGGACAGGAGGACGACAGCTCACAGACTCATTCGAAGTTCATCGAAAACATAATGCTGAGAAATAAAGACAGACAGACAGACATAAGAAGAATGAACAATAATTGTGTAGAACTTGGAAACGAGGTCCCATGATAGATTAGGTTAAAGAATGTTTGTCGGCGGCTCATGCTCCACTAGGGTTAACAGGCATTGATATGTAAATAAGTAAATCTTTTGAAAAAAATGTATACAACCTAGAAGCTTTTTCATCAAAAAAAAATGTACTCCAGAAAACAATGAATCGAATGCTATAATGATAAGGATGTCTGTCTATCCTTTAATATTATTAAACAGTGAAATATTACAACTTGTATATTATTGAATATAAACTTGAAAATGTTTCGATGAAATTAACCCAAAGATAACTTCCGTAAATGTTGATAAAATTTTAGGTGAATTTCAAATTTTGTAAAGTTAAAACATACAGATACAATAATTTACAGCAATCTTTTATGAACAGATACAACTGAGTCCCAACTGAACTTGAAATGATATCTTGAATAAAATTGTTGAGGATGTTAGATCCCCAAAAGCTCGCTTGATAAATGCCTTATTTTGGATTTCACGTTTCCGAGCATTGGCTGATCAGATGACCTTGAGATTTCATTTCCGAACCCAGGAAAATCCATGGCTGTGATTGGCTGCTGTGTATTTTATTATGCTATTTTCATAACTGTCCCAAGGACGTTTCTATGATGTATAAATAAACGAGAGTTGTGTGCTTGATTGTATTGTGTGATTTCTGGGTGTTTGTAGAATATACTTTCTAAGCTTACAAAGCCTTTTATCTTCAGCTTGGGATTCAAGGTAGCCTACCTGGACGCTGGTTCATTGTCTCGTTCGCGTTTATCGACTACTAAGGTGAACTCATAATAGCTTCAAGTGTAGTTAGGGACGAACTTAATAAAAATGTACACTTCAATCATGCACCACACACTAACTCAATCAATCCTGTCATCAATAACACAGTGGCTACAACATTATTGATTGAACGATGTGGATATAGTTCAGCTCATACTTACCATTTCTTTAATGGTCAAGTCTTTTTGTAAAAATATTTCTCCAGTATTTTCTCTTATAGTAAAGAATGAATTGATTGATTGATTTTGATCAATAAGTGAATAGGTAATTTTACCATTAGAACCAATATCTTTATCGTTGGCTTCAATTTTTTCTATTAAATGACCAGGGATATCATGGTATGATATTTCTACCTATTAAGGAACAAATTAAATGAAATTTTTTAAATGGTTAGTCAATATTTGACTATGATTGATCATATATTATGTTCTAACCCTACAGTATAAAATCCAATACTTGGTATTTACTGTGTTTTACATTGAAATCATGAATCAGTCATTGTCAGATCACCATTAGAAGCCAGGAAGCATTGGATGGCTGTTTCGTCCTGGTTTGGCTCTAATCATCAGTAGTGCGAATCCACGATTCTTATAACTCACAGGATTCGAACCTAGGACCAGTCTTATGCGCGATAGCTTAACGTCTGACCAGCTGAGCCTGTACTCAACAGTATCAATGTCTAACTTTGATCAATCTAAGGATGTTGAGTAACCTTAGCCATGGTCTTCGATAGTTACTGTCCACGTCCAACAGAATTGAATCCTACTGGTCACCACGACTTCTCACCAAAAACTCCAAGTATTTCCTCAGAAAGCTAGTCACTAATGAGCACATTTTATGATTTTTTTTTTCATTAAAGAGTTATGAAGATTATTGGTGTTTTCAATTGAAATCATGAATCAGTCATTGTTAGCATTCTCGAGAGCAAGGGTCGATGATGTGCATTTCTGAGAAGAGTATCGTACCAGGACGAAACGGCCTTCCAGTGCCTAGCTGACATTCCTTGTCTAACAATGAAGGGGACTTGTTTATCAAGGCCAAAATCATAGAAGAAATGAAATCAGAAATCCTAACAACTGACTCTCAAGATCTTTGAGAGAGACTTCCCATATACTTGAGCTTTGGATGGGTTTTTTTTTAGTCGACAGCTAGCTAATTTGGACATTATGTAAGAGATAAATGTCATTTAAATCATTGTAGAGTAAGTAGGTTACATCATCATACAAAGCATGCGAAACAACTCTCCAAGTATCTCACCTCTGTTAAATTACTCAAAAGTAAATATATAACAACGATTAACAACTTATTTCTTGAACCACCTCTTCAACTCTAATCATGTGATTTTATCAAAACAAATATCTTTCAAAGTTAAATGTTCAAATTGACAAAAAAAAGAGCTTCTCTTACCTCATTCGTTCCATTATCAAATGGTGGTCTTTGAAATATCGGTTCATTATCATTTATATCTAAAATGGTTATATGAATTTGTGCTGTAGCTGTAAGTTGTTTTTCCGGTTTCGATGGATTGTCAATAGCTAAAACTTGAAGTAAAAATGCTGGATATGTTTCACGATCAATACTTTTTGATGTTGTCACGTAACCATCTTCTGTTATCTAAATGTATTAACATACGTACATACATACAGTAAATATATTTTTTCACAAAGAGGATGTGAAAGATTGTTAAGTTACACATTTGTTTGAAATAATGAATCGATCAATGTTAGACTACCGTTAGAAACTTGGAAGCACTACTGAATGAAGTATTCCATACCAGGATGAAATGTTCAGTGCTTCCAGGTTTCTAATGGTGGTCTAACATTGATCTATTTATGAGTAAATATTTGTTTTAAAAATCTGTACTTAATAAAATTAATTTCACAAACAATAATCGAAAGATTTTAAAAAAAAAAGATTGTGAACTTTATAAAAAGAAGCTGAGAATGGAAAATCAACATTTTAGGTTATTGATAAAATTCAAAAATTTGATTTATACTGCTGCTTAGTGAGTATATAATCTTATTGGTTAATTTTGTTCGGCTATTTGACCAATCAGCATAAACCATTTGATATTTCGCTGTAACCATAATGAGACGTCATAAAATGAATCACCTTCCATATTCTATGATTGTCGGCAATCATTGAAAAGCTTTAAACGTCGTCAATTCCATAATTACTATGAACTGGACAAGTATAACTAAGGGTAGTGTTGTAATTTACATTCATACAAATCAGTTTACAATAGGCTTACTGAGTAATGCAATTATTTTATGAGTCATCATCAATAGAACAATCATAATATTTATGATAACTGAACTAATAGAAATTAGAATTTCTGATGTTTTGTGACTTCATGTAAATCACCGAATCAGGATAAATCATCGAGTTATATTAACACAAGTTTAAGTAACGTAAACGAACAAATCAGAAAATGTAGTTCAATCAAAATCAAGATCAAAGTACGTTGAATTATGTCAAAGTCATGTCATTTTGCTTAAAGTAGATCTGTGTAAGATAGCACCATGTTGTATTTGTATATGTGCTGATGGGCATATTTCGTGTTGCACTTGTAATATGAAGTAATAGTGAAAAAATGTACCTACGCCTGGAACCATTATCAGGTTTGCCGCTACCAAGCCCGGATAAATGAGAAGCGTTGGGTATGCAGTTAGCTACGCAGTCTCGTAGGAAATCAATTCGTTAAAAAGGCTAACTAGAAAAAATAATTTAAACCATTTCAACTCTACTCTGGGATTTAGAGAGTCTTCATTTAGAAGAATTATCAGGCCTCATAATGAAAGCTGAGTTCCGACAGTAGTCACACACACAACTTGGGATGTTTTCACGTTGTGAGAGACTGGGAGAACGATTCAAACTGCTTCAGAAATAAAAAAGGTACAACTTGGTAATGTTTCGAATGAGTAAAACATATTGGACGCAGGATGAATAAAAAGCGACTAGCTTGAAAAGAGATGCTGTTATAATCTGGCCGGGAACAAGAAAAGGCCTCATATACACAAGGTACTGCACTGATACTGCCCAAACAAGCACAAAAAGCACTGATAAAATGAGAACATCATAGACCCAGGATCATCATGGCATCCTTCAAAACAAAGCAAGATGGGATTACGATGAATGTCATTCAGTGCTATGCGCCCACCAACGATATAAATGATACGATAAAGATTATTGTCTGAGAGGCTGCAATCAACCGTTGCGAAACCCCAGGCAAGGACAAGACTGTTCTGAAGGGAGACCTGAATTTCAAGATTTGAATGTACGACAGTGGATATGAAAACATCATGAGACAACATGGACTGTGAGAATGGTACGAAAACGGTGAGACATTCGCAAGCCTGCATGCTTTCAACAAACTGTTCATAGGCGGCTCCATGTTCCCACATAAACGCATACACAAAGCAACATGGATTTCAATTGATCGCATTACTTAGAGCCAAATTGATCACATCTGTATCAACAGATGGTTCAAAAGTACCATGAACGACGTTAGAACCAAGATATAGCTGATAGCTTCAGATCACCACTTGATAGTGGCCAAAATGAAAATGAAACTCACGAAGAGATGGTGGAGAAGATTTGTAGCTCAGGTGGATAATTGTGGTGGTGGTGTTTGGTTCTCTGAGCTGGATGTTTTGGTTGTGAGGCTTTCATTGTTCTTCTGAACAACATCATCAGCACAAACTTCAGATAGAAAGTCTTCAACAGAGTGTTGTTAAACAGAATGAGGGATTACGTAGACGCCCGACTATGAGATCGTATTATGGAGGCTTCTGTGACACTACAGCGTGCCTGAGAAGCTAGTCGACATCACACGGAATTCTTATGTTGGATTAAACTGCAAAATCGTGCATGGAGGACAGCTCACAGACTCGCTAAAAGTAAAGACCGGTGTTAGGCAAGGTTGCTTAAGTTCACCCTTCTCTTTCTACTGGTGATCTGCTGCATTGTGAAGACGTCAACATCTGGGGGGAGGAAGCGTGGAATACACTGGACAACTAGGATGTAGCTGAACTATCTGGACTTCGCAGATTATTTGGCTCTTTCATCTCACACTCAACAACACAAACAAGAGAAGACGACCAGTGTAGTGGCAGCCTCAGTAGCAGTAGTGGGACTCAACATACACAAGGGAAAAAAGTAGGATCCTCTGATTCAGCACAGTGGACACAAACAAAATCATTTTGATACGGAAGTTTTGGAACATGTGAGACCGCTCACATAGCTGAGCTTCATCAATGATAAACAAAAGGAATCTGATGTTAGTGTAAAGACAAGGATTGGCAAAAGAGTAAGACCAAAGAACACACAGTATGTTGAGATAAGAATGAACAACAGTGGGATAAAACTGGAAAGTAAGACCAAGGACGGAGTGAGTCGAAGAATGCTTGTCTGCAACCTATGCTCCATTAGGATTAACAAGCGTAAATGAATAAGTAACTAAGATCTCAAACTACAACTCTGAATGTAGTCATCAGTTTCTTCAGGATTACATGAATACATTCCCAAATGTAGCTAAATAGTAAGAGACTTAATTTCAGTGTATCATATCTCTAGTTTAATTTGAAAGAATGAAAGACAACAAAGTCTTCTCAATAGTGCATTTTCAAGCATAATTTAACATCATTTCATATTTCTGCATTAAAAATAAAACACATTTGAAGAACATTGAACACATGATGAATTAATTAATATTATTATTCAAAATATGTTCACTCACTTCAAATGGATGACTCATTGTATGATCAAGTGAATAATTTAATTGACCATTCAATCCAATATCACAATCCATTGCTTTCACTTGTCCAATCACATATGATTGTTGAGTTGTAGAATTATGATTTTTATTGGTCATTTCTAATTCTTCATCCAATGAAAAATGATAATGAATTTGTGTAAATGCTGGACGACAATCATTAATATCGATTAAAGCAATTTCTACATGTGTTGATCCAGATAAACGTGGTTCACCATTATCTAATGCATTCACCTGTGAATAGATTGGGACAAAAGAAAAGGAGAGAGAGAGAATTATGTAGGTGAAAATGTTTATTTTTGTTAAGCTTTTTTACACGTGATATACTTGAATGTTATGATGAGTTCACATTTCTAGTCGGCATAATGAGAGCTAAGACAAATGATCCAGTGATATGATGATAGACTACTCCGATGTTACCAATGTAATAATGAGTAATTAATTATACGTTGAATATAGTGCAGAGAATCAATGTATAATTTTTGGAATTATTAGTAAGTGGTTTAAAATAAACACAGACAGTAAACAATTAACACCTTGGAGGACGTTAACACCTTTACATATCTTGGCAACATCATCGACAACCAAGGTGGATTAGATGCAGATGTGAGGGAGCGGATTGGCAAAGCAAGGGCTGCATTTCTACAGTTGAAAAAAATATCTCGAACTCCAAACAACTTTCAAACAAAACCAAAATCAGCATTTTCAATACAAATGTCAAGACAGTTCTACTGTATGGAGAGGAAAATTGGAGAACTACGAAAAGCATCATCCAGAAGATACAAGTGTTTATTAACAGTTGTCTACGCAAAATACTTCGGATTTGTTGGCCATACACCATCAGAAACAACGTACTGTGAGAGAGAACAAACCAGATTCCAGTGTAGGAGGAAATCAGTAAGAAGCGGTGGAGTTGGTGGATAGGACACACACTACGGAAAGCACCTAACTGCGTCACGAGACAAGCCCTCACATGGAACCCTCAAGGTAAAAGGAAGAGAGGAATGCCAAGGAACACATTACGCCGAGAAATAGAGAAAGATATGAGCAGAATGAACAAAAATTGGACAGAAATGGAAAGGGAAGTCCAGGACAGAGTTGGTTGGCGAAAAATGGTGAGCGGCATATTTTCGCTTAGCAGCCCTTATATTCCTCTTTACTTCCTTGTTTGGTTCTGTTTATTTAGCTTATGCCTTTGTGTTCCCTTCTCCCTTTCTTGCATCCTATTCAGAGTATCAGCAGAGATCCATGCTTTATGATGATGCTTCTTGTGCCTCAGAGTCTCACAACATCCCAAAGTTAATACGCGTAAGTAATTGAGTAAGTAAGTAAGTAATTATCGAACATAAGTCACCGATTCAGTTATGAATTTGAAGTGCACTTGACGTAAAAAACCTATATTGCGGAAGCAGAAGGGTTTCCTATAGTTGAATTGTATGAAAAAAATAATACTGATTAGGAGACGTAATTGATGAACATTAGATACAACAAGTTAAACTACTGTTGTCCATTTGAATTCAATAAATCAGTAAAAAAATTGTTTGTCTATTAGTTTCTACAACGCATTGATCAATCATTATAGTACTCATTTGAATTATTCATAATGAGATTTATCAGGGGGAAAAAACATGCTTTCAGTCACTCCACTTGCACATGAACTAAACATGATACTTAGCTACTACAATTAGAAAAGGTGAAGCGGAGGTGGAGCACGGGATTCAACGCTGACTAAATACTATTTTGAAACTACCGCCACGAAGTATACACATGTGTATAAATATATACAATAAAGAATAAGCGAAACTTGTCAAAATATGTTGAGATAGGAATCCTTTATTTTATTCAGTCAGTCAGCTGAATTTAGAACTTAGTAAGTACATACATGGATTCAAGTTGCATACCGCATTAGCACAGACAGATGGAATTGTCAATGCTAATCCCACAGTAGTAGAGGTTGGAGCAGTATCAGCAGCAGTCGAAAAGTTTAGAGATCAAAAATATGATTCAGGAAGTAAATCCCAGTGAAATAAACTCAAAAAGAGAAAGATAAAGGTGATGACGAGTTCAGAAGATTAGAATTAGAGAGAAGATAAACGAGAGCGAAGACAAATGATCCAGTGAGATAAGAGACTACTCTGACTCAAGCGTCCAAAGCCCCCCCCCCACTAACGGTATCAAAATATGAGGTTTTGTAAAGATGATGAAGAAGAAGAGTATCATAAAACTTTGCAGACAATGCATATTTATACAGCTAGGTCGACCTTGAATACTAACCAGTAGGAAACAAGATTTAAGATTATGTGAACTTGTTATTTTTGGGACGACCTTGAATATTGACCAATAGAATTGGACTTACAAAATAATTTCTTTAGGATATTTGGTGAATATCCTAACAATTTTTTTCATTAGTAAGAGAGTTTTGAAGATGATTAAGTTTAGTTAAAATTATAAAAATCTATCATTGGATCAGGCTGAGCAATATTAGGGATTGATAAAAGTTAGATATATTAACACCATTGGATGTCGGCCGGCTCAGTGGTCTAGATGCTAAGAGCTCACAGTCGAGGCTGAAGGTCTTGGGTTAAAGATTGCCCCATGAGGGGGTCGTTAATGCGCACTGTCACTGTTGATTCCTATACTAGGCCAAAGACGATGTTCAATGCATCCATGCTTCTGATGATAGTTGAACAGAGATTGATTCATAATTTTAACGATACTCTAAAGTTTTTTCAATTAGAGTTTTGGAGATTACTGTTTTTAAATATTGAAATCATTAATTAGTCATTGTTAGACCAACATTAGAAACCTGGATGCATTGGACAGCCGTTTCGTCCAGGTATGGGACTTATCAGTGGCAGTGCAAGTCCACGACTCCTTCATCTCACAGAATTCGAGCACAGGACCTTCAGTTTTACGCGCGAAAACCTAACTTCTAGACCACAGGGAAGGCATCCAACGGCGTTAACGCCAACACTGATCAATCTAGAGATTTTGCGCGACCTCACCCAGTGTCTACGATGGTTACTGCCTACATATGACAGAGTTGGGCTCTACTTGTCACATCTTCTCACTAGAACTCCGAGAATTCCCTCATTAATGAGCACATTTTATTATTGATGATGATAACCTGAAATGTCTATTGTGATGATAACTGAAAATTGCATGAACAATTTCAATTAAAGACATACATTTCCTCAACACTACGTTCCAAGCATTCCGAATGACAAGTCCCATTATGTAGAATAATATACGTGTCCAAATTTGTTATGAGTCAAGAAGTCATACCTGAAATTTTGCACAGCAGTGCTCTTCCTTGATATTCAAATATATTGAACACAAAGCTATTATATGTCTACAGCGATATTTGGATAAACTGAAAATGTTATTTACAAGAAGTATATCAACGAATCATGACTAAATATGTTAATGCCACATTTTAAACGGGTTTCTTTGACATTTCAAATGTTTCAAGGAACTAATAATATTCAAGTAATCACCAAACGTCAATTTGCTGATTATTGTCAATTTTTTGTGTATAAATGGATGTGATTGATTTGATTTGATTTAAACACGTAAACACTGGTACAAATGGTCACTTAAATGTTTATACACTATACAAATTATTGAATTTTTGAGTGGTAAGATGGTTTCCCAAGGGGGCAAAGCCCTGAGCTTTTGTGATTTAGTAGTTCGTTTCCACAGGGCATTGAAGCAAGTTGAAGAGATGCAGTCCCACGGCAGCTGTTAACCAACCGTAGTTTCACATGTCATTCATCCCATCAGGATCCTGGAGCCAATGTGCACCACTGGCCTGTAATGAAGGTCTTCCAGCTCCCTTAGAGGAATCCTCCATATCCGATAACCTAGTTAAAGCACCGGATGCTCCCTTCTATTCCTCTCAGTTTCATAAACTAAACCGTAACTAGAAGATGGTGAGCGGGACTAAATGTATAAATTTCAATCATAATCAGCATAATATAAAGTCAAAGGAAACTATTCATCAATATGACACAAATTTTGTGTAACAGATGTTTCCATCAATCCGATAATAAAGATTATCACTTATCAACGAATTTTGTAGGGAAATTAAGAGTAGACAAAATAAATGTCTACAAACGGTAACAAACAAAACTGTCTATAACTCTATAATGAAAAATTGTACAATGTGCTCTCACTAGTGACTAGATTCGTAATGAAATTCTCTGAGTTCTAATGAGAAGACGTACCAAGCGGAGTTCAACTCTGTCGAGCGTAAACAGTAACCACCGAAGACAAAATCCCTAGATTAATCAAAGTTAGACATTAACACCGTTGAATACCGGCTCAGTGGTCCAGAAGTTAGGCGTTCACGCGTAAGACCGAAGGTCCTGTTTTCGAATCCTGTGAATAGTAGGATTTGTAGGAACGCACTGCTAATGAATAATCCCATACCGGGATGAAATGACCGTCCAGTGCATCCAGGTTTCTAATGGTAGTCTGGCGAGGCTAAACATGTAAACTTCTGGATGATGATTCATTGATTTAAAAATTAAGTGCTTACGAACAATGAGATCTGGATGCCTCCAATTCGATCACTAGAGTTATTATGGATATTCAATGTTGATAGGTCTCATTCAAGATCATTGTTTGTCTAACCTAGATTAGTAGTCTGCTCTAATTTCATCTCTATGAAACAAAAGGTTAAATTATTTCTCTTCATGTAAGTTTACAAACATACAAACTGATATACACAGTAATATGACATGTTTATTCATGTGGTGTCGAAGCCCTTGTGCAATTATGAAGTTTCACAGTCTCAATGATGCAAGTAAGTAGATATTAAACTTTATTTAAAACAATGAGTCGACCATTGTTAGACCACCCACCATTTGACAGCCATTTCATCCTGGTACAGAAATTATCAGCTCTGTGCATCCATAATCTCTGGTAGCGGGAATCCAGCCCAGCACCTTCGGTTTCGCATAAGGAACCCTCAGACTGAAGGCTACTGAGCCGGCACCCAACGGTGTTCACAGGTTACTGATGGTGGTCTAACAATGAATGGTTTATTATCTACTCAAATAATATAAATTTTACAGTCTTGTTCATATTCGAATGAACGAAAGTTTTGAAAGTTTTGTTACTGTAACCCAATCAAAGTAGATTAACTTTAAGTGCATTTTTGATATGATTTGTAGTTTACGTAGGGGGGGGATACTACCCCTGTAGTGAACGAGAACACAGGTGGAGCAACC